ACTACAGCTAAAGTCACCAGCAGCCTGTTTTAGAAGAAATCTTCTCCCCATCCTTATTTTTGATGCCCTCCTAATGCCCCTGCCTTTCATTTCATTTCAGCCGCTGTCCTCAGATGTACATGTTCATTTCAAGTGCTTCCAAGTCAACCCTGCAATTAAATAATCTCCTCGCTCCCCAGTTCTTTCAAGCGTCTTATGGAGATGCTTTCACAGCTCACAAACCTTAGAGAAGAGGCAGTGAGCAAAATCGAAATGGAAGCAAAACACAACTGAGCATTTGAGACACAAAACACAGTGCCTTGAATAAGAAAATCTTTTTCCTGGGAAATGAAATCATGGTGACTAACAAGAAGGACGGCATGCTTTTTCATTTCTGGCAGCTTCTATCCCTTTGAGAAGATGATTGGGAAACGACTAAAATGAGCGAGATCTGCCTCTTGGGAATCTCAGTAGAGAAAATGACCTGGAGTTTCATGTTACAAGAGGCCAAAACCAAGGTAGACATCCTGCAGAACCAACTAATATATGAATTCCCACTACCTTGAATTATAGAAACACCCCCCAAATGATGGAATGCTCTCATTCAGGGTATCTGTGCATTACTATTAGACTGCCATCATTCTGCGGTCTTGGCAAGCCATGGTCTATGGGTGGTCTCTGCATTTACGGTGACAACATCCAAGTATCTGTGGACAGAGTAACATACAGTGGTACCTCAGGTTAAGAACTTAATTCGTTCTGGAGGTCCGTTCTTAACCTGAAACTGTTCTTAACCTGAAGCACCACTTTAGCTAATGGGGCCTCCCGCTGCCACCGTGCGATTTCTGTTCTCATCCTGAAGCAAAGTTCTTAACCTGAGGTACTATTTCTGGGTTAGTGGAGTCTGTAACCTGAAGCGTCTGTAAACCGAGGTACCACTGTATAGTCGCCAAGCTAAAAGAGTTAACAAGGTGGATTTACCCACATCAGTTTCAAGCTACAGATAGAAATTCTGCAGATACATCAGGACTTTAGTCCTTGGTGCCTTTGGCTGGTGTGCTTCCTCCCCGCTGCCCCCCACCCATTTCCCATTCCCAATCCGGGCATGTGTCAAATACTTGCCATATAAAACAACCAAGGAAGTGTTAGCATTTCACTCCTCCGTTGCTGATGTGTGACTGTTACATCACGTCACATATCTGTGTTTACTTTCTAGGCTGAAAAGCCTGAGAACGGAAGTGGGCCTTATCTCTTCCGTTCTGCTGTGTTTTTGTACTTTTTACTTTCTGTTCTCTCTCGGAGCTAGAGGGAGAGAACGCCATGATCGTTCGTCCTGCAAATATTGCTGAATAAAAGCTTAGAATGAACACACAATTCTCCACTTTGTTTCTGCTGATCTCTGCTGAGTGTGTGTGCATGTAGGCATCTGCTATGTGTCGCTGGAGCATCCCGGGTGTTATGTAGTGAGTTGAATAGGATCCAAAAGGCAGCAGTCTGATTGGCCCTAGAACAATAGGGTCCAGAATGCAGCAGTCTAATTAGTCCTAGAACAATGCAGCAGTATGATTGGTCCGCAGGAGCCACCCAATCCAGCTCCAGGTGGAAGTGAATCCGCAACCTGATTGGCCTACAGGAGAATCCCAGAATTAGCCAATCATGTGTGGCCCATTGTGTAAATAATGTATATAAAGCAGATATTTTAGGGGAACTTTCATTCCTCACTACTATGAGATGAATAAGGACCATGAAATCCACACTCGACTCCCAGTATATTTCACCGGGACTGTTGATTTATAGACGTCCTGGAGCTGCGCAGCACCAGGAGGCCTGGAGAGATTTGTCTCATCCCAGGGGCTGCGCGGGCCCCCAGGAGCGTATCCTGACAGGAAGGACATCTATTTTTACCAGTGTAACATAGGCACACAGATTGCCTGAACATTTAACTTAGCGTGCTGGCAGGAGGCATGTTGCCTACGGAGATGCTTCATAGGTAGTATAAGATCCTTGTCCAAAAATATCTTAAAAGGCAATCACATTTAAGAGAGAGCTTACGGTATTTGAGAAGTTAATTACGAAAACAAACAGAGATAAGTAAAAATATATCAGCTTTTACTTAAATCAAATACAGGACAGATAACAAAATACATGGTGATGGGAGCACAGAATGCAAGGCAGAATATTCCTTTGGATATTTGGGGAGGTCTCTGGAAATCATCTCATAAATTTTCATTAAATATGAGCATGAGAAAAAATGCTTCAAAGGCATCAGCAAACAGTGCATCATTCCAGCAAAGATAAGCAAATTTGGTGAAAATTGTCCATCTTTGTGCTGGAAATGTCACAAAGAGTTAGGGGACTTTTTCACATGTGGTGGAAGTGTAAAATGATGGACGGTCGTTGAAAGATAACAAAAAAACCAGTTTCCAAAGATTTTAGGAGAGGAGGTCCCACTTTACTTTATATGGTTTTTATTAAATTATGTTGAACAATCAATGAGATCAGAAGATAAAGAGCTGGTTTCTTTTGTGGCCACTATGGCCAGAATTCTCTACACAAAATACTGGAGATTACAAGCTGTACAAAAAAATTAAAGAATGGGTTGAAAAAAGGGGGGGATTTCACAGCTACAAATTCAAATATTTTCTAAAATATTGAGAAAGAACAGAGAGAAGAGAACCTCTTGGTAAGGTGGCAGAAATTTATTGATCTTAGGAAGAGACAAAATAGTATTTATGGATTTACAATGCACTAATATTTGAATTATGAAAAATAGATACAGAAATATCTTATTTATTATGAGAAATGTTCATGAAAAATGGAAATGATGTTTTAGATTTTCCTAATTGGGGAAGATGGAGCTTATATATTTTTTCCTGTTCAGCTTTTGGCTAGCAACATTATTATTATTGGATTAAGTAATTATGGTTTTGTGGAGTACTCTGTTATGACTAATAATGTTATTCCTCTGCAATAAAGCTATGTATGCTGTTAAAATGATAATGATGATGGATGATGAGAATATATTTTGAACTTCGAGTAAAGGAAGTGATTCTCAATCGAAATATACTAATAGGAGGTAGTATTCAACTAAGTTTTACTCAAAATAGACCCATTGAAATTAGTTTGCACAACTAAGTTATTTCCATGAATTTAAATGGTTTACTCTGAGCAAAACTTTGTTCAATACAACCAAATATATTAGACAGAAAATATTTAATAATTTTGATAAAACCTGAGTATACGTAGTCTTTCATGAAGAAATGCACTTATCTCAATTACATATCCTTAATAAAATAAAGGTTTACAACTATTAATCAGCATTGAGCTCCCTTTTGTGGAAGACAACACTGATTAACGTCTAGTTTAAAATGTCTGCATTGTAAATCTGCAGTTACTGCATTTGTTGATCATATTTGGCACACCCATCCTTGCATATCAATCCATTAAAAGCAAGCTATTTAGCTTAATGTAAATAGAAAACCCAGGGGCGGATCTTTTGGCATAATTCATGGGCACTGCTTATGTTTACCAAGCTTCCCATAAATTGGCATAATTGCCTACATTGGTGTGGGATGTGAACCACCAATAAAATCGCTTACCAGTATGAAATGGCCAAGCAAGTCCACTGATCTTCCATGACTGGTTTCAATCTTCAGGTTTTATCTCCACAGTACTAAAATGGTTTGTTCAAAGAAGGAAGCTGAGCATGTCTGGAACGTGCATTCTGAGAACTGCAGCTAATGGCAGAAAGGTTTTGAACGGCAGCAGCTGGCCTGTTGAGGCTGAGCTGCCCTCCTGATAGTGGCATTGCTGAGGTTGACCTCGATGGCATTGGGTGGCGCAGGGTGGAGGCAAGGTCTGGGCTGCACGCAGGTGCCAGGGGAGCGCTGGACTGGCTCTGCTGGTGCATCTGCACAACGCTGACCTCACTGTTCCCCAGGAAGCTACAGTGACACATGTGCCAAGTGGGTAGCTCTGCCCAACCACATTAGCTGCTACTGATTTTGAATCAATCACAAGAGGCAAATCGGTACAACTTTGTGCCAAAAAATTTTCCTCCTGCCCAACCATTCTCTACCAATTAACGAGTAAAGAAATTGCATTCAAAAAGGGAAGGTGAGGGTGTTCAGGGTTCTTGCTGCACTTATCTTATTTTCAAACGAAGATCATGGCCGCTGGTCCCATCACCTCCTGGCAAGTAGAAGGGGAAGAAATGGAGGCAGTGAGAGATTTTACTTTCTTGGGCTCCATGGTCACTGCAGATGGTGACAGCAGCCACGAAATCAAAAGACGCCTGCTTCTTGGGAGAAAAGCGATGACAAACCTAGACAGCATCTTAAAAAGCAGAGACATCACCTTGCCAACAAAGGTCCGTATAGTAAAAGCTATGGTTTTCCCAGTAGTGATGTATGGAAGTGAGAGCTGGACCATAAAGAAGGCTGATCACCAAAGAATTGATGCTTTTGAATTATGGTGCTGGAGGAGACTCTTGAGAGTCCCATGGACTGCAAGAAGATCAAACCTATCCATTCTGAAGGAAACCAGCCCTGAGTGCTCACTGGAAGGACAGATCCTGAGTGCTCACTGGAAGGACAGATCCTGAAGCTGAGGCGCCAATACTTTGGCCACCTGTGAGAAGAGAAGACTCCCTGGAAAAGACCCTGATGTTGGGAAAGATGGAGGGCACAAGAAGAAGGGGACGACAGAGGACGAGATGGTTGGACAGTGTTCTCGAAGCTACAAACATGAGTTTGACCAAACTGCGGGAGGCAGTGGAAGACAGGAGTGCCTGGCGTGCTCTGGTCCATGGGGTCACGAAGAGTCAGACACGACTAAACAAGAACAATCTTATTTTCATCGGAGAAATGTTGGAGGGTATGGGAAACCTGTTAGATGGCTTGGACTCCATCTCCCATCATCTCCAACCAGCATAACCAATGATCTGGGATGATGAGAGCTATTGTTCACCAACTTCCTCAGGGCCTGTCTTTGCTTTAAGACACCATATTGTGTAGAAACTGGCTTTATACAAACTACAGCTCAGTTGGTAGAGCCTGAGACTCATGAGACTCTTTATCTCATGTCATGGGTTCAAATTCCAAGTTGGGCAAAAGATTCCTGCATTGTAGAGGGTTTGACAATGTGGGAATGTTCTGGGGTGCAGGAGAGGATATATTGACTAATTATATCCTTATCCAACTTGTGCTAACAAGTTCCCAAAATATCAGCAGAGTTTATAAACATTCCCCTTTAAGTTCGCAACGGTAACGTGTGCACAGGTTCGCTAGAACCTCTATAATAATTACTCTGGTAATTTCCCCTTTTGTTCCCTCTTAAAATACAAGACACGACACAGTCTTTATAAAAGTATAAAAGAGTTTACTCACGTTCTGTTCACAATATGATCCCAGAAGGCAGACAGCTTAAATAGGTTACATACATTTAGAATCTATCTTGTAGCAAGATAGTCCTTTCCTCCTCTCTTGGCTGAGAGCCAAGAGAGCATCTTTAGATGCTTCCTCATCGAAGGAAAATGGCAGAGAGAGAGAGATGGCTGCCTGCCCTGTGCTTTTGTCATTACCTGCACAGGTGAGGCCACACCCACCTCTGGTCACATGCGGAGGAAGTCCGTCCCCAGGAAGTTTACCTGCTTGCTGGACAGACATCCCTCCCCATGTTCTAACATGTACACTCTAGGAATGTTGTCATTGACTGCTCCTGTGTTTACATCCCACAGACAACAGGACTCTCGTGGTCCCATCCAACTCTACAATTCTATGATGCAGCTCAATGAGGTTTGTTTGAAACTGTTAAGTATGGTAACATAAGAGAACTTCATTTAGTACAACATTCCTTTCACTATTAACCTATGTTAGCACATCAAGGCTCTGACAATGTTTGTTGTCTCCTGGTTGCCTAAGCACAACAAATATCAGCAGCTCACTCCCACTTAACTACTTATCAAGAAGATGGATCTTGGATGGGCTTGCTGGATGTTGGCAGCTAGTGTTAAGTAGGTATAATCAGTTCCATTTTGAGGTTGGCACGAAATATTCTTAAGGGTTTTTTCCCTCCCCAAAAAGAAATATTTATGGTCATGTTATTAACACTCTTGCTTTAGAAGCCAAAGCAGGACTGGGTTTGGTTGAGAAAATTAATTATTGTGTATAGGAACCGAGCATGTTCAACAACGTGTTATTGTGAGGAAGAACAAACATACAAAAGAATGCTCCCCTTTTCAGCTGAGAAATGTTGGGAGGCTGTGATTTCAGGGAGCTGTTCTCAACCTGGGGCTCTTCAGGAGTTTGGGGACTACAGTTTTCATCAATTGCAGGCAACATATACCAGTGATAAAGGACAGCAGGAGATATATTCCAAAACTTCTGAGGGGCAGCAGTTTGGGGGCAGCTGCTATAAGACTTGGATGTTAGTAAGAAAAAGTTCCCTTCTTTCAATGTCATACACAGAAAGGCACACTGAACTTAATTAAATTAGTGTCTTATGATTTGCTACTGTCCACAGTCTCTCTGCCAGCCTGATATACAAGCCAGTTCAAGAAGCATTTGCTTGGCCAGTGGCTAAAAGCACTAAAACCATCACAGCAAATTGTACTTTCCTGCAGAATTTGTCCATCTCAATCAAAAGGGTAAACCCTGCCAGTACAGGAAGTTGAGAACTTGATTTGAAATTGCAAAAAAAATCACATTTTCAGAGCGCAGAACATTTTCATATCAAGCGTTCCCATCTGCAAGGATAGGGGTGTTAGTGTAGATATTACATAATCTCAGTTTATAACTAGTTTCCAAGTCACAAACAGACAATTACAAAACACATTTAATAAAGATGAAATTAATCCTATTGGAATCTGACAATAATGAAGTTAATTTTGCCAGTCAACAAATAAGCAAGCCTCTCTTTCCAGTAATTCTCCCCAGGGATGCTCGCCTGGTGCCTTCATTACACATCTTTAGGTGCCAGACAAAATGATTTTCTATAACCTGCCCTTTGTTTGATTAACACTGTATGGCCTTTTAAATGTGTTTGTGGGTTACTGGGTTGTTTTTGTTTTATTATGTATTTTGTGTTCTCATTTTGTATTTTTGTGTTTGCGTGTTCAGACCCAGAAACCTCCCCTCTAAATAAATTCAGACTTGACTCACATCTTGGTTTTGGTTTTTGGCAGAATTTAGGCCACAATTACAGAAAGTGACTGGTTGCATAGGCTCTGGTTTGACTAGCTCCCTGCCATGCAGGTAGCGCTGACCCAGGGTTCCAGCATAGGTCAGCCAAGGGTGAACACCTGGATAAGCGGAAAGCCAGGAACAGGCAATCTCTGCCACCCAAATGTCCCCCTGGACTCACGCACGGGCACAACCCCCTCTCAGGGGTTGACCAAACCATCGAGTCCCTGGATTCCTTTAACGGAATACCCTTCACATTGATATGGCGAGACCGTTCTCCCATCCCTATCACCTGAACCAGAGCCTATCCGCAACCTTACAAGTTGTGATGATTTGCTACACGGCAGGCGAAACCCAAATGGCAACAGCCAATCAGCCAAGTGGGGAAAATTCCTGCCGGGAGCCTGTCCCAATGATAGACGACACACGACAGCATAGCAAGGTCAAGCGCAAAGCCCTAAAAGTAGGGAGAGGTGGGCGGGTGTTCCAAATGCATGCACCAGAAGAGGAAGCTCTGGGTCACGTGCATGGGTATAAATAGGTCCCTCGAACTGTTTGGACTGCGTCCCATTGGCCAAATTGCACCCAGCTATGAGGGACCTACCAATCGGGTGTTGTGGCTGACCAATCGTACCCACCCACAACACAGGGTATCGGTTTCCAGGTCTCACCGTAATACGTGCCCTCTTTAAGGGAGGACCCGATTGAGAACCGCCCTGTGATCTTTAGATGAAGTATACAAATATCATCAACACCAACATTTAATGCCCCACCCCACCCCTGTCAAGTAAATATAGCTGATCAACTTACTCACACATGGTTTCAAACTAGAGACATCAGTGATCAGCAAAAGAGGCATGAGTTTTATATGTCAGTGTGTTGCAGCAAAGGTTGGAGAGGAGCAAGCTGGAGGGTTTGTCTAATCTCGTTGGACTCTTTTTGATCCAATATGATTCTTCTCTGCCGGTCTTTCCTAACTGCCACTTCAGATTCCTTCATTCTCATTTGCAAATGGTCTTTTAATGAGGCTAGCACAAAAACATTGGTGCTAGGCATATTATAGGCACTGTAAAATTATTTACAGTTATTAAAGGAGGATAAATGATGATAACTCCAGTACTCTCTCTTCTCCAAAGGAAAACGACTTTGGGGTGGCTGTTCCTAACTTTCCACCAAGCAGAGAAGAGAGAGGAAAATAAACGATAGTCTTGCTGTCAGCATCAACACTTTGAATCTTTGACTTTTAACTAGGGAAGACATCCTAATGAAAATCAACATGTTTCTGAGCCTGTGTATATATTTTTGCATTTATCCCCTTTTTGCTTGCAGTTTGTGATGTACCCTTTCGAAAATAGCAGTCCAAAGAGTGACCCGGGCTTTGCATAATTAGCTATTGTTGAAACGAGCCAACTGTTTAATGAAGTTCCAACTCACAATGCGACTGTTGAAAAACAAAGAGAATATCTGAGACCTGCAGAAAGCTAATCAACGTTACATGTCAAAAGTAGGAGGGCTAAACAGACCGATTATAATAGTCAATCCTTTGTTTTAAAGCCCGTCCGTATATATACAGTTGCAGGAAAGACACATCTGGATGGACAGAGTACTGATTTTCCAGTCAAAGCCCAATATGCGAAGAAATGAGGATAGTAAAAGATGAAATAGTAGGAAATAAAATACCCAGCATTTCATGGGCCTGGGAAGCAATAAGTTAGTCCATTCCACATTTTGCCTGAGATCAAAGGCAGAGGGAAATGTACGCCCTGAAAACTTGTGAATAGATGCCACACAATGGCTTCCAGTTTGTTTCTGGGTCCATTCAATGTGCTCATGTTGGTGTTTAAAGTCCTAAACAAGTTAGGCTACAAATATCTAAAAGACAGCCTCCTTCCCTACAGTCCATCCTGGGTATTAAGATAAACAGAGGGTGCCTTTTGTTTTGTTTTGTTTTTTAAGATGATCTTTATTGGTTTTTTATAATTACATACTATACATACACAAAAGGGACGCGGGTGGCGCTGTGGGTTAAACCACAGAGCCTAGAACTTGCCAATCAGAAGGTCGGCGGTTCGAATCCCCGGGACGGGGTGAGCTCCCGTCGCTCGGTCCCTGCTCCTGCCAACCTAGCAGTTCAAAAGCACGTCAAAGTGCAAGTAGATAAATAGGTACCACTCCGGCGGGAAGGTAAACGGTGTTTCCGTGTGCTGCTCTGGTTCACCAGAAGCGGCTTAGTCATGCTGGCCACATGACCCAGAAGCTGTACGCCGGCTCCATCGGCGAATAAAGTGAGATGAGCGCTGCAACCCCAGAGTCGGCCATGACTGGACCTAAAGGTCAGGGGTCCCTTTACCTTTTTATACATACACATATTATATTGCATTTTACATTTATTCTTGCTCTCAAGAGCTGACTTCCCTCCTTCCTCCTTCCGGCTTTTTTGTGTCGTCTTTAACTTTTCGCATTGTCTAGAGGGTGCCCTTTTGATAGCTCCATCTCCCTCAGAAATTCAGGGGACTGCTCTGGGAGAGGGCATTCTCTGTGGTAGCCCTTAAGTTGTGGAATTTCCTCCCTACAGAAGTACATCTGGCTTCTTCTCTAAATACAGTAGGACCTTGGGTTACAGACACTTCGGGTTACAAACTCCGATAACCAGGAAGTGGTTGCTCTAGGTTAAGAACTTTGCCCCAGGATAAGAACGGAAATTGTGTGCCAGTGGCGCAGCACCAGCGGGAGGCCCCATTAGCGAAAGCACGCCTCAGGTTAGGAACCATTTCAGGTTAAGAACGGACCTCTGGAACAAATTAAGTTCTTAACCCAAGGTACCACTGTACAGCTCTCTGCTAATGCTGAAGACACATCTCTTTACACTGACTTTTGACACCTGATATGTGTTTTCAGGGTCTACGCCATGGGTATGCAAACTAAGGCC